CTACCTGGTCTGTCCCCAAGCCCTCACACTCACAGCATGTAGCTGCTTCATAACAGACGTGAAATGTCTCCCCCTTTTCAAGAGGCGTCCACTTCGGAAGTGAGAGCGCGGAGGACTCAAGAAAAGAATGTGAGTCAGAACCCACAGAAGCCATTTGTTGGCCATGAACTTAACACCCAGAATTTTAAGGGGGTAGAAATAAGCTCACTCCTGAAGTTCTATTCAGAGAGCACAGGCAATAAATGGATTTCCACCTTTGGAAGGGACCTCTGAGCGGGGCAGTGACTCGGTGAGACTGCCAAGGGGAACCCCTTAGAGAGCTCCGTAAGTCACAGGGATTGCTAGCTGTCCCCTTATATCCATGTCCTCCTTTTCCTTGGTAGCAAAATGAAATGTTATTTGGGGACAGAAGCATACCAAAATAAAAGGCTGTATTTCTCAGCTTCTCTTACAATGAGTTGTGACTTTGTTACCTAAGTTCTGGGCACTGTTGAATTATTTGGGCTAATTTGGTTACTACTTCCTGAAAAGCTCCCTTCAAAAAGGGGACAGCGGCTGGCACACACTTCCATTTGCCCTGAACGCTTGGTCCGTGGGTCTTCCTGGAGCACGGCAAGGCTGACAACCACGAAGATGGAAGATTATGGCTAAGAATGGTGCAGCAGAAAGAGGGGAGGCTGGGTTTCTGATGATCACACCAGCCCTGCGCTGCACACCTCTGGCCTTTTTCATGAAAGAGGAAGGAGAGTTTCGACTTCAAGCCATCATGTGCAGCCAAAAGGAGCCATCCTGATTCTGCTCCCGACATCTCTTCCTATTCTGATAGCGCACTCAGTGAGCTCCGCCTCTCTCTCTCTCTCTCTCTCTCTCCAGCCTTGGCCACAGCTCCCGCCCGGCTTCTCTTACCAAATGCACACGACTTGGTCTCGTTGTAGATCAGGCCCATGGGGATGTTCCAGCCGGCGGTCCGACCCACTGCCGTGTGGCAGGACTTCTTGCCTTTCAGGTTATTCCAGGTGATGTCAGGATTGGACGTCTTAACCACGGCCACAGCCCAGTAGCCTTACAGGACAGATGATGAAAGGAAGCATTGAGGGAGCTGCCGTGTCTAGGGTACCTCCAAGTAACGCCTGCATCTCCCTAGAGGAGCCAAGCATCCTGGCCCCTTCCTTGTGTCTTTGAGTGGACCCTCCTGGTAACAGACTGAGGCTAGGCTCAAGGTAAGGAGCAGCTGCTGTACTCTGTCAGGGGTAGGGGGCTCGGGGGTGGGGGCGCTTTATCTGAAAGCAGTGAAAAAGAGGGATTAGCAGGGATTGAGAGAGAATAGTACAAGACTGACGAGCTACAGAAAACAGGAGGGGCACAGGCTCTCTGGCCAGGAGAGGAGAGCTTGGCCCCAAAATAACGATGCCAAGTAGAAAATGTCCAAACTCAAGTCAGCTGACGTCTTTAGCAGGAAAGACATGCTGCTCCTGAAAACTGGGACATTGTGATTTCAGTTTCCAATTTAATTAATCCAGGAAAGACAACAACAATCAAACAAAATGGACAGAGAGAAGCCTTGTTCTCCATGGACAAATGTCCGCTTGGCTCCGGGAGCAGCAGGGCGAAGCTGGGAGGATTTGATGAGGAGAAGCATCAGGCACATGGGACATGACCTGCAGGGGCTCTGGACATGAGTGCGTACTTTGTTTGAAGGTTTCCCGACCTGGTCCCCCCTCACCATTCCACATCTCCCCAGCCACAGACCAGGACTAGAGTCATGTTGGCCCTAACTTGAAGGTCAAGTGATCAGTCGTGCCATAGGAGGCTCTCCCCTTAGTTGTTCAAGGTCCAAATGAACAAGACTCTTTGGCTGGTACTAAGTCTCATTTAAACATATACAGGTCTCATGTTATACACAGTCATGGGGACCATGGGAAGAGCTTGAATTGGCTTCCTGGTTATATGATCCCAGATGATCCATAAACTCTCTAAATGCACACACACTCACTCAATGCCATCTCATAGCAACCCTAGAAATCAGGGTAGAACTGCCCCTGTGAGTTTCTGAGACTGTAACTCTTTATGGGAGTAGAAAGCCCCATCTTTCTCCTGAGGAGTGACTGGTAGTTTCAAACTGCTGACCTTGTGGTTGGGTACCAATGAGTACCCATCTCCTACCAGGGCTTTCTAAGTCCTTGGGACCTCTTACTGACTCTTACCCCACTACTCACTGCCATCAAGCTGGCTTTGACTATGAGCAAACCAACAGGGCAGAGAAAAACAACTCCCTCTAGGGTTTCCGAGGCTGTACATTTTTTATAGGAGCATGCAGCCTCGTCTTTCTCCTATGGAGTGGCGGGTGGTTTTGAATTGTCAATCTGTCAGTACCCAGCCCAATGCTTAAACCACTGTGCCACCAGGACACCTTTGTGCAATTCGAAACGGACCTTTTCTACTGCCCATCTTCCTGTATTAGATTTTAAATGTACCCCATCCCCTTCCCCAACAGTCGGAATTTACCTTGTAACTCCCGAGGCTAACTCCAGACCTGACTCACCTGGCTCTGGTCCTGTGACACAATCAGGGCCATTTTCTGGGGAAAAGGAAAATGAAGACATTCATAAGCACTCAGTTATTCGATGAAAACCATGCCTTTCTCGAGCTGCATCTCAGAGTAAGGGAGAAGTGAAAACGATGGCACACCAACATTGGCAAAGCGGGACAAAAGCGGGACACCATTGATAAAACTCATATCCTGGCGAAATAGCCACATGGCGGCCGAAAACCGTCTACCCTAGCTTGTCGTGCATTCTTTCCAAAAATCGGGACTTTTTAAAAATGCCTTGGGACACGGGAAAAATTGTTAAAAATCGGGTTTGTCCTGCCAAAAGCGGGACGTCTGGTCACCTTAACCAAGACTCACTGCCACCGAGTAAATTCCGACGTAAGTAAGCACCACTAATTCCCGGCAGGGCTAGGCTCATTTCAACGCCCCTGGAGAATTTAGCTACAAGTGGGGAGTTTCCAATGCCCTGGGGCCCTAGGGAAGCCGGTGAACTATTTCAGAATCCCTGCCACAGTGGGGCTGGAAAAGTATGAGCTTGGGAAGCAGGAGATCCTGTTGGGAATCCCAGCTGTTCTCCGGGCCAGGGTCACATTTAGGGACACACTTAACATTGGGGAGCCCCCACCCACTCACTGGTGGAAGGTTGTGGGAACTCCCACTTTTCAGGATGACTGTAAGCATTAGAGATGGTGGAACCCAGAGCCGGCGAAGCAGTAGGTGCTCCGGAAAGGAACATGACTGCCACTGCTGCATGACTTAGGTTGTGGTCTTCCCATTGCCTCCCTCCGTGGCCCAGAAGGCACGGAACCAGAGTGGGGCTCCCCTCTGCTTACTGTTGTAGTTCTCCGCCAGGACAGGCACCAGACCACACTTGCCCGCCGTGTAGATGTAGCCTCCATCCAAGCTCATGGCATCAGCTTCTCCGTTCTGCAAACACAAAGCAAGAGATGAAAAGAAATCATTTCTGGTCCATCTACCTTTCCAACCGTTTTGTTGAAACAGCCTTTGGATGGCAAACCTTGCAGGCTCAGGCAGAGAGCAGTTATTAACATTGAAACACTCCTGGCCTGACAAAGGATCAGGCAAGCCTCGCAGCCTGGACCGTGCACTCTCACATTCACGCCAACCATCCTCAGCGGGGGATTGGCTCTAGTGATGTGTTTGGCTTATTCAAGAGCAGTAGACACCATGTCAGGGAGGCTCCCACGTCACTGTTCTGGCTCCAACACTCAATTGGTGCGACAGAGAGACAGGGTGAAGTTGGAGGCTCTAGTCTGTCTTTGTGGAATCCAGAATCCTTGTCTGGTCTGCCGAAAGCTGTCTCAGAGGTTGTTACACACATGGGGTGCTCAACGCATGTATCCAGTACATCCAAATGATCAGCTCACATGCCCTGGGCTTCAGAGATGCTTAGGATGCCCAGGCTTCCTCTTGGACATAGCAATAGACTTTCTAAGAATGTATCTTAAGGAATATGTTGGATACTATTTGAGCAAAATGTACAAGAATGAATATGTATGTGTGTCTGTATATATGTGTGTGGGAACAGACTGCAACATTCAGAGATCTTATTTTCTAAGAATGATTTATGACCTGGGAAAAGCCACCTGGATAATGTCTATGGGAAAAGATCCTGAGATCCAGGATCTGATGCCAAGTCATCTCTATTTTCTTCTTTAGAAATTTGAACAACAAAACCTTTAGCTGTTTTTAAGAATCTGCTGCACGAGCCCTCTTTAGACTAGAGAAAAGCAAGGCTGCTATTTGGAGGACTCGGTGTGCGTGACCCAAGCCATGGTCTTTTCAACTGCCTCGTAGGCCTGTGAAAATGAGGCTTGGCCTAAGGAAGGCCGAAAATGAATGGATGCACTTGAACTGTGGTGCTGGAGGAGAATATTGAAAGGACAATGGACTGTCTTGGAGAGAGTACAGCCAGAGTGCTCCTTAGAGGCAAGGATGACAAAGCTTCATGTTACATACGTCGGCCATGTTGTCAGGAGAGACCAGTGCCTGGAGAAGGACATCATGCGTGGTAAAGTAGAGGGGCAGTGGAAATGATGAAGGCCCTCAAGAAGAAGGATTGACATGGGGCTGCAACTCTGGGTTCAAACACAGGAGCAACGGTGAGGATGGCTGGGGACAGGGCGGCGTTCCATTCTGCCGCACATAGTGTCACTCCGGGTTGGAAATGACTCCATGGCCCCTAACAACGATAACAACAAGCAACAGCACAGGTCCCTTATCACAGTCCAGGCTGCCTCTCAGTGATCCAGCCTCTCCAAGAAAATGCAAGGGAGAGCACCTTCGAGGCAGGGGGGGGTTCCTGCACACCGCTCGGACCACTCTGCTGTGTGCTAACACACAAGGAAACTGGGCCCGGACGCAGTGCTAGAGGCACAGGCTCAAAGGTGCCGCCCCCACGTGGGGTCTGCTCGTCAGGACGGAGGGCCTGGTGCCTGGGCACAAGCGTCTCCACCCCACTGGCAGGATCACGCACAGAGCTTTAGGTCCAACAGGCAAGACGTACTCTGATCTTGGCAATGCAGTCGTCGGTGGTCTCCGCTGACTCACACTCTATCTTCCCTTCGCTGTTAACACTCCATTCATCGCACTTGGCCCTCTCCTGGTGGCTCACGGCACACCACTTCACCTTACTGCATTCAGCCTCAGGGCCTACGGCATAAGAAAGAGAACCAGAGATCAGAAGGGGCCTCACAAGTGCCTCAGTGGTTATTAATTCTATAATCTCCAGGAAACTGCTGGTGTTTTCCAGCCATAAACAAGCATGAGGGAGCTTCAGCAATTCGTGGGGGGAAAGATACCAGGGGTTCAAGCAGAAAGAAAATGTTTCCAAAAGGATGATGGCAACATATGTACACATGTGCATGATACAATGGATGTATGGATTGTTATAAGAGCCCCCAATAAAATGTTTTATTACAATTTTAAAAATTCATTATCTTCTAATTCCATTTTTTTCACACACTTGTTTAAGCCCCCTTGGGGGTCCCACTTGAGGAGTGCATCCCCTCAGAGCCCTTGCCAGGACACAATCTCTTGGCTGCCTTCTTATCATTTAGACTTCGCTTAAAATGATTCCTTCTGGGGGCCGACTTTCCTCCCCCGTCCACGGGCACTCCACCAGGTCGGGCGGTCGGGTTTTGGTGGTTGTTCTTGCTTTGCTTGGATGTTCCTTCTTCTTATTCAACGAGCATGCAGCCATCGACTCTTCTCCTGCTTGTTGTCTGGTCCCTGAAGGGGAACATCAACCCCAACCCTAACCCCAACATCAACGGCCCCGTCTGTCCCATCCATCACAGCGTCCTCATGGTTGAGGGACGTGCATCGCACCTGGGCACCGTAACAAATGTCTCCTGAATAACAGACACCTGCCCATTATTGAGACACAACTCCAGGGTCCTTTCTGCAGGAACCCCTTCCTTGTACTGGGGGTCCCCCAGTGCCCAAGAGGCTATTCTTTGTTTTGCATTTTCTTAGGCCCAAGTGATTTGTTTTGTTTACGTCGGAGCAGAGCTCTCATTCTGTAATCAGCCCCTCAGCAGTGCGCCTGTTCATTACAGAAGTCTTTCTGCTCTAGTCTGAAAGTCCATCCTGTGTTCTTCTCACCACGGCAGGCCCGGCACCTGGCCTAGTTCACGGCTGTGGATCCTTGCTGTCCCGCTGAGTCCGACTAGTGACCACCCAGGGGGTCACAGAAGACCGCTCCCTCTGATTTTCCAGGCTGTCGCCTGTCAGAAGCAGATTGACAGGCCTGTCTTCCAAGAGTGGGTTTGAACAGCCGACCTTTTGGTTAGGAATGGAGCCTTTAACCATTTTCACCGCCAGGGGGCTAGATACTCAGTACGTGTCTATGGAATGAACAAGCAATCAAAGCAACCATCAGTAACTCTGGAGAAATGCTCCCCTCTCTGGACCACAGGCTGCCACAGCACCGGGCCAGGAATCTGAGTGTGAGCAAGATGGTAGATCAGGGACACAGTGCTGCCTGAATCACCAAGATCTTCAATAGGCCTGTGCTTTAAAGCCCTCTGAGAACGTCCAGGCCCAGCTCAGAATCACTACCACCAGCCTGCAGCAGTCCGTCCCAGGGCTGCACAGGTGGGGAAGAGAAAGGCGGTCAGAAAGGTGGAAAGGTACTCTCATCAGTCCCCACCCGACCAAGTTTCCCAAGCTCCTGTGGTCCCAAATGCTTACATTTGCCTTCCTTTATATTGCGAAGGGCAGTGACGTAATCAAATCCCAGATACAGCCAGGCATCCATCCCAGCGGGGACTCGGAGGAACCCTGTGGCAGAATCCTTGAACATCAGGTTCTTCCCGTGAGGGGAGCTGAAGACCTGGAAGCCTCCTGACTGCTCTTTGCCAAATTTCTCCTGTTGGTGGTAAAACGGAGCAGTGAGTGGCAGCAGCAGAGAAGGGGGCTGAAAGATGGGGTTAGGGAACAAGCCCAGAAAACGAAATGAGAAGCCACAAAACTTTCTTAAGGTGCCACGGAAGGAGGCCGTCAGCCTGGTCTTGTCCACATGGGGTCTCCTCTGCTCCCAGCCCTGCTAGACCCCTACCCGACTCCCTGACTGAGTTGAGAGTGCTTAGCAATCCGGACATGGGTCTCAATCAGAGGCTGGCACTGCGCGCCCACCCCTTCAACTCTGGATGGACAGAGGAGAGGGCTGTTTGAGAGGACACTGGCTCAGGCCCAGCAGCCCACTTCCTCAGAGGCTGCTCACTGCTGGGCTCGCAGCTCCAACGGTGGTCAGGCAGAGAGATATCGGGAGGGCTTCCTGGGGAAGGCACTGTTTTCATTTGGCCATGAAGGCCTGGTTGAGCAATAAGAAGATAAACGGAGCAATAAGAAGCCTCTTCAGACATCACTGGCCCACGAAGTTGGGGCCTTGCTGGCAGTGATGCAGGGTGAGGCGCTCGGTCGCTCTGTGATGAGTACCTGCTGGTACTCTTAGAGAAACAGGGGATGGGTCATGTGGTTCCTGCTGTGTTCTGAAAACAGATGGCCATCTAGCATGGCAAGAAGGCAAGGAAGAAGGGAAAGAAGCCCAAACCCAACCCAAGCAGGGTCCACAAAGCGGGAGGTGAGGGAGGCAGCCGGGCAGATGGGAGACCTGTGCTTCATTGAGAACGCTCCAGATCAAGTCCTCCTTGCCATCCACGCTGCGCGCCACCACGGCGTGAGACGGGATCCAGGCCAGGTTACAATCCTTGTATTCATCCACGGGCTTCCGGGTGTTGTCCGGGCAGAGCAGCTCATACTTGTCCCTGTCGGCCTTGTTTGGCAGGTTCTCTGGGGGAGGGAAAGCCAGATGAGTCTCTCTGCAAGCAGAAGTCCGGAACGCTGAGACCCGCCACCCCCCACCTCTCCTGCAATTCCCTCTGAATCATCGGCTTTGTGAGCAGAGGGGCCCAGAACGATCACTGACGGGCCAGAGAACACAGGAGGGAATAGACTTGCTCAAGACCCACAGCCAGTTAAAGGCCAAGAAAGTGGTCCCAAGGAAGGCTCTGATGCCCAATGCAGTGGGGCAGCCTACACCTCGCGCCTGCGATGAGTCTGAGCTCAGAGACACAAGCTGTGGAGACCGGAGCATGGGAAGAGTTCCGGAGGGAAAGCCCAGGTTGCACATCTCTAAGCAGGAGAGACGTGTGAGCGGTGACAGAGAGAGGGATGTCTGTCATGTTTGATGACTGAGCATGAAAAAGGTGGGCCTGGGAGAAAATCCGCTGCTTGTCGGGAAACTGCAGGGTGTTTTCCCCATCACTTACCAAGTATGGTCTCATACTTGACAAAGGCCACCTCTCCAGCACCTTCCTCTAGACACCTGTGGGTAAGAAAGACATAGGTAGGCCTCCTCTCCTGCAGGGTAGGAGCATCAGCTCCCACCTTCCAGCCTGAAGCCAGGGCTGATCTTCCAGACAGAGCCTGGGGTGGGGCAGTGCCCTCATTCACGCAGGGAGGCCTGCACCTGGGGTACTGACATCCAGGTGGGGAGGTGAGCTCACACTAGCTGGAGGCTCCTCGTCTTGTGCCCCCAAAGAGCAAAAACCAATGGAAGGCATTTGAACGGAAAAGACCTCAGCATCTGCAATGGAGGGTGAAGGCGTAGCCCCTCCTGAGGGTGTGACTGTCACTTTGGCTGGGCTGAGTCCATAAGACTTTAGGCTATAACAAACAGAAAAGAAGAGGGAGCAAGGACTCAGCCAAGCAAGCTGTCCGTCAAGGGGCAGTGAGGGGAGGCAGGAGAGACTCCCTAGCACAGAGCACCAGGTGTGGCTGGATAAAAGGTTGGCTGATCAAGACTAGGCCCCAACACAAGGGACATGCCTGTCCACCCAGGCTCAGGAGCTCTGGGCCGAGAGAAGGAGCTCCCAGCAGAGGAGCTTTCTTCTCAGGCTCTGGAGGCAGTGGGCAAGCCAAGCCTGCCGTGGGATAGGAAGCGAGGGAACCAGCCTCATCCCAGGAGTCCCAAGCTGCACTGTTGACTCCCTGTGAGGGGGATTGGGTCTTCTGAATGCCCCTGTGGGCAGACCTGACTTTGGCCGGAGCCAGGGAACATTTCTCAGCCCGGGGCCCTGTGGCACATTGGCACCACGGGGCAGCAGAAGGTCTCACTCACTTGAGGGCGCCCGAGTAGCCGTAATATCGTTCGTGAGAGTTGCAGGCACACTTCTCTGGCCCTGCACACAGTTGACACAGCTTGGGGAACCTATTCCGATCCGCGCAGGGGACACAGCTGGCAGAGAAGAAGTTGGCCACTGCTGCTCAACACAGAGATATGGACATCAGGACAGGAGCCAGTCTTGCCACAGTCAACTACACATTGTCAACAACTACGCACAGTCAACAACCCAGCCAGGACGCATTGGAAGACAGAGGGTGACCAGGACAAAGCCAGCAGACGATACTTCACTTGTGTTAATGCATCACGATCAAGGGTTCCCCAATAAGGACAAGTTAGTCTCTTCGCCCCCAAGAACAGGCCTAGGCATCCTCCCTCCAAGGCCTGCCGCCATCAGCCGTCAGCCCCACCCACCAGCCTGCTGGGAAGAGGGAAGTCTTGATGGGGAACCACACCCAGGAGGTGGGTGCTCCAGCCTGGAGAGGGGCAGGCCAAGGGCATAGCCACCAGATGGCCATCGGAGACACATCTGGTAGAACAGGACATCCTTCAGCTGTAGGCAGGAATGGATGCCGGGGGAAATAAACCCACAGGGCACAGCAATGGTGGCCCCAAATGAACCCCTCAGTGGGGCTCCTGATGCCCTTATCTGATGTTCTAGTCTTACATGACCACCTCTGGCCGTATATTGGGAGCTCAAAGCAGAAAAGACTCGGCTCCCACTTGCCCAGGACTGCTGGTGCATCTATCAGACCCTGATAGTTTAAAGCTGCTTAATGCCCCCCTCCCACGTCCCCATCCAGAGTTCTTTGAGCATGTTCAACTTGATAGTGACTCTTTGGCCCCAACATGGACGGTTTGGGCAACGGAGTCGAGAGGCCCGTCTGAGGCTCCCACCCTCCTGCCAGCTCACCACTCTCGATGGGCACTCGGGGCTCCGGCAAGCTGCAGAGAAGCCTGCCGATGGGGACGTTCCAGCCGGCGGACCTGCTTAGCCCGGTGTGGCAGGACTTCTTCCCCTGGAGCTCGTTGAACTGGAAGCCGCTGCCCTTGGCCACCACAGCCACAGCAAAATACCCGGTTTTGGGGTCTGCAAAACAGCAGAGTAAATGAAAAACCCTTCACCTGGGCCCCGGGAGCCAGTGCTCATCCTTACTGGGCTCCGGAGTGGGAAGGGACCCCAGAGGCCATGCTTCGTTCGGGGGGAGTGATGGATGGTAAGGAAGAAGGAATTAAATAAACCTTTCTAGGCCATAGAGGTACTGTGCGCCATAACCTTCAGGCAAACTCAGGGCCCCGAGGTCATGTGCACGTATGCCTACCCTGGCCCTCTAGCATGTCGGCCCAAGCCCACCAGGAAAGTGGGGACGGGCCATAGACACCTAAATTCCCTGATGCTTTGCGCTTCCTTTCTGTCCCCTGACACAGGCCCGGAAGGGCTGGTCTGGTCTTGGAGGAGTTGTGATGCCAGGATGCTCTCTCCCCTGTGAGCAGTACCATTGGTCCTGGACGCGGCACTAAACCTCGGGGAGGGTGGGGGGGAGACGCCTGCACACAACCTGCTGGGGCTGCAGGGACAGTTTCTAGGCCCACGGGGTCAGTGTCAGAAGCACCAGTCCAGCGCACCACAGAGACCCATGGGAGCCGCATTTCTCACACACTCCACTGAGAGGCATGGTCTCCAGCACTGAATCTCCCTTAACTTGCCAGAGAGGAACAAGACTCGGTGTCTACTACCACAGGCCACACTGCAGTTGGGCCCCCGGGGGAGAACTACTCACCGTCTTTGGACCCGTGGAACTCTGCCACGACAGGCTTCAGGTTGTGGGGGGCCAAGCCGGCCTCGTACACCCAGCCTGCATCAAGAGTCACGGCATCTGCGCGCTTCTCCTGAAAGAGGCAGACCAGAGACAATGAAGCCCTCGCTTCTAGGGCCAAGCCCAAAAGCACATCGTTGCCATTGCATTCAGTCGGAGGCAAGGGGACCCCACATATTACAGAGTAGAACTCTGCGAGGGGGTTTCTTGGCTGTAATCCTTACGGAAGCAAGTGGCAGATCTATCCTCCGCAATGCCACGAGGTAGACTCGAACTGCCAACTCTCAGGCTAGCAGCCAAGCACAAAGGATCACCTAACCCCAGGCACGCGAGGATGGCTGCCAGAGCTCCATGGGGCTAGGACCAGGAGAATTCAGCTGACTCCAGCTCCCTCAGAGGGCACGTGGCCCCATATTGCTACTCCTCCTGCAGAGGGGAGGGCTCGGCTTGTGTTCCTTTCCCCTGGTAATCCCATGCAAACAAACCCTTCCCTGCTAGTGCTCTTGTTAGTCATTTATAGTCAGAATTATCTTGTCATCTTTGAAAGTAGTATTTGCCTTCTCTTTTTTCCTGCGCTCTTCTTTCCTCTGTCTTGAATTGAAAC